AGGAAAGTACGAGGATGCCTGCATGGCTCCTTAGAGTGTGTGTGTGTGTGTGTGTGTGTGTGTGTGTGTGTGTGTGTGTGTGTGGTGTGTGATGTACAGGCTTTGGGTCTTTGTTTCTCATATATATTGCTCTACTAAGTGAGGAGAGTGAAGAACAGAGAGAGCTAGGGCCGAGCTGGCTCGCAGCCTCTTCAGTGGACAGCTGTTCTCATCAGAGAGCTGGAATGCCCAGCTCTGAGGCCTCCGCATTACTTTCCCAGGGAGATTCTGGCGACTGAACAGGAAGCAGTAGTTTAGTTTGAGGAGGAGGAGACTGTGCGGGAGGCAGTCCCTCAACCCTCCCTCCCTTTGTCTCCCTTCCTCTGAGGACTAAGACACACCTAGCAACCCGAGGTGGGGCTGTCTTATCACCTGCCCGCCAGGTACAGCACAGGGTGTTCAGGCCACAGCGCTGCTTTGGGGGAATGGCCTTACCTAGGCGGGGAGTGGTCTGGCCTTTGTCCTTTGTGAGGCTCGTGATGGTTTGTGGAAAACATAATCTGGTATAAACCAGCAGGGACTCATCCCTGGGGGATTAGCCGTGGTTTTCTGTCTGCAACAACACAGAGGAAAGGTGTTTCCTAGGGAGATTCCAGCAGGCTGACTGGACTGGAAAGTAGAACGTATGTTTAGGGGCATGTGCATAGTGAGTCTACACACTGAGTTTCAGGACAGCGAGGGGTAGGTAGACAGCATTGCCTTTGATTGTAGACACGGGGGTGTGGACTCAAATCTCAGTTTTGCCCTGAAGTCAGCAAGTTCCAGGCCACGCAGAGCTACATAGGAAGACCCTGCCTTTTATTAAAAAAAGTGGAAGTATTAGAGGAAGACAGGCAGGCAGGAAATGAGGGAGGGAAGGGAAGAAAGGAGGGTGGGGGATGAAATGAACTTCCTGACACACCCAACCTTGATCTTGTTCGTAGTGATGGTAACTACCTGACCTTGCCTAGGAGGGTTCTGTGTGTTCCCCAAGCTTTAGGCTTCTTAGGAATTCTGCACCCTCCTCCCTCTCTCTCTTCTCGAGGCAGGGTTTCCCTGTAGTTTTTGGAGCCTGTCCTGGAACTAGTTCTTGTAGAACAGGTTGGCCTTGAACTCACAGAGATAGGCCTGCCTCTGCCTCCCAAGTGCTGGGATTAAATGTGTGTGCCACCACCACCTGGCTTGAATTCGGCACCCTTAAATTCTCTCTCTCTGTTTTGTTGGAGCTGTTTGAGTCCAGGGCATAAGAGGTAGAAAGGAGGAAGAGCCTGGAAGCTGATGTGGGCTTCTGATCCCAACCCTGGGATCAGATGTCCAAGGTCAGTTTTGGCTGCCTAGTGAGTTCAAAGCCAGCCTGGGCAATGTGAAGACTCCATCTCAAAGAACAAAGTAAAAACAAAAATGGACAAAGATGTGGAAAGGAAGGAGAAAGGAATAGCCAGGAAATCAATCGAGGGTGCTGTGAAGGCGAGGGTGGGACCGCCGGCTCTCTATCCTCTATCATTACTGAAACAAGCGGGTACCCTTCTGCCCCTCAGGACCTCCCCGGCGGATACCTCAGCGCCTCTGAAACCACTTGAGCCCCACTGAAGTGATCACTGGTCGTACAGGAGGTAGCGGGGTGCAGCACCACGTGTCACTACGTGATGCTGGGCAGAATCCTTTCCTCCCGTGTCCCTCAGTGCCTCGCCCGGAAAATGGGATTCCTGGTGGCCCCCACATGAAAGGGAGAGGTGCCTAGCTCCCCGGAAGTGCTGAGCATGGGGCTGCCTAGAGTTAGGATCCAGCAGCTGTGAGCCTGCTTTGGGGCTGGCTCACAACAATCTTGTTCCATGTGCACCACACAGGGAAAGACAGACTCAGATTGTTGCTGCATCATCGCCAGCTCTGTTGCCCTGCCGTTGATGCAGCCAGGATTTTGTTCTGAGGCTATCGCTGTGTTTCATTTGTTATTAATGGGCATGTTTTTATGGCAGTGTTTCACTGGCCTTGCATTGTCCTCTCCGATTAAGATAATAACACCTTCAGTTAATAACACCTTCCTCTTGATTTGCTTTCATCTCAAGAGCTCAAAGTCCTCCGCAAACATGACCTCATTCATTCTTCCCTGGTCCAGGGAGCCGGGCACTCCTTCGGCTCCCAGCCATTCATCTTCCACCAGATTCTCAGAAGCCTAAGTATGGATTAAGCCCTTCCACCTGGCAGGAGCGCGGATCACAGGCGCAGCTCTGGAGCTCTCCTGCCTTCTCCTGGAATGACCTTAGACCACAGATCTCCTGAGCCCCACTGTTACGCCCATCCCAGGTGTCCACAGCTGTGTCCACACAGGGAAAACATTAGATAATCCTTAGGGAAGAGATAAATTGCCTTGATGTCCAGGAAATAACAGGTTTGTCAGCTTTCAACTATTACCTCCCTTGAGGGTTGGATTTGAATTCTCTACATAGCCCAGGCTAGCCTCCAATTCGTGAGCCTCTTGCCTCAGCCTCCCAAAGGCTGGGATGACAGGCCATGGTGTGCATGAGAGCTTTTCAATTGAGACCTGGAGGCTATAGGCACATTCTCTTAAAATGGCTAGACCCAAGCTAGACCTTGCTACTCACCACCCGGGCACGTTTGGCACCTAGATGCACTTGTGAAAGTCCGGAGCCCACGATGACAGTGCTTCCTTGTTCTGGGCAGCTCTTGGCCCTAGAGCCTGGCAGTGCAGACTGCTGGCTGGTCCCTTGTTTTCACCTTGCAATTACCTGGGAGAGAAGAGCTGGAAGTTGTTCAGTGGCCGCCCACTCTGTGTATCCACATCTCTGCATCCAACCAAACTGTAATTAAAACAACAACAACAACATTCAGACAGAAAACGGTGTCTGTCCGGACTTTTCTAAAACACGCAGACACTTTTCTTCTTATTTTTTGAGCAACACAGTACAACTATTTTAATAGTGTTTACATCCTGTTAATCATCATGGGGTGTTTTAGAAATTATTTAAAATATATGTGTAGGGGTTATGTACAAATGCTATGCTATGTTATGCTGTGCTATATAAAAGGAGTTGAGTGTCCACAGATTTTGGTCACTCTAGGGGCCCCTGAAACATGGATGTTGAGGCTGTCCGACAACACTCATGGCCTCAGCCCATGGGAATTTTGGGGTACCAGGAATAATTTTAGCACTCCTACTTCCTCAAAACAAACAAACAAACAAACAAACTGAAAGACAAATCACAGGAGATTAACTCGTTCCAGCACCCAAAGCAGTTTTGTTGTCTTGGACCCTGGGGAGAGAGCTAGGGTTTCCTGCGCGCTAGGCAAACTGTCCGCCGCTGGGTTCACTCCTAGCAGCGCTTTAACTGGTATGCAAACATTGGCTGTAACCTTACCCTTCTGTATATCCTTCTCAAAATCGGTCAAGTGTCTTTAGATGGAAAATCGAGTCCCTTTAAGTAAAATAAAAACAGGGCTGTGGAGGTGACGCAGGGAGACCGGACTCCCACACACCTGCCTCCCGCAGCTGAGTGGATAGGAACAGGGCTTGCTTTCTTCTTGTTGTCCTTCTGTTCTACACACCCCTAACAAGTTAAAATACACTCTGTAATTAGTTCTGATGAAAAACAGTGTAAGTCGTCTGGAACCAGAGGCTCCTAGAGTAAGTCCCTAATCCTGTCCTCTAGATCAGGGAGGGAATCGTCCCAGGCCCCCTTCCCCATGGCACAGAGCCACAGATATGTGAGGCTTTTACTCTACAACGTGTAGTATTTACCTATAAGCCAAGTTCATCATCCCGTGTATCTTAAGTCATCTTTAAGTCAGTTTAATACCCAATACAATGGAAATTTTATGGATATATGTGCCATACACTGTTGCTCAGGGAATAGTGGATGACAAGGAAAAAAAAACCTTCATGCTGAAACCATATACATTTTTTGTTTGTTTGCTTTTGTTTTTGTTTTTGGAGACAGGGTTTTTCAGTAGTTTTGGAGCCTGTTCTGGAACTAGCTCTTGTAAATCAGGCTGTCCTGGAACTCACTTTGTAGAGCAGGCTGGCCTCTAACTCACAGAGACCAGCCTGCCTCTGCTGGGATTAAAGGAGTGCGCCACCACTGCCCTGCAAAAAAAAAAAAAAAAAATTTTTTTTTAAACACTGGGTTTTTAAACCCTGAGATTGGTTCATACAAGGCATGCCCGGCCACTGACCAGGGCCTTTCTTTCTTTGGTGTGCCTGTGTTTGGCTCTTTTTGAGATGTTGTCTTGACTTAGCCCTGGCTGTTCTTGAACTCACTACACAGACAAGGCTGGTCTCCAACTCAAAGAAACGCCTGCCTACGCCACCCCCTCCCCCCACCCCGCCTGAGTGCTGGAATTAAAAGCTCGCGTTACTACACCCGGCTCTTTCGTTGCTGGTGGTGTTTTTGGTTTTGTTTTGTTTTGTTTCCTTTTTTGGAATTGAACCCAGGACCTCACGCTGTGCGCTGTTTCAGAAGTTTTCTTTCTCTCTCTCCCTTTTTTTTTAAAGTGAGACTGTTTAGAAGCTATTTAAAACTTAAATACCCTTGAGAGTCGAGTAGCTCGCAAAGGTTCTGTGTTTTCTATTTTGATCGTTCTGTTTCTCGAGATGACCACATCTTTCAGAGGAAATGAGTCAAAGCCACTCGGTCTTGCTTTTCCAGCTGAGCATGTTCGGTTTCAATGAAGTAATGAATGAACTTGGCCAGCACCACCCCCCACGCCTACAACAGCAAACACTGGGGGCCTCCACCAATCAGCGCGCACTCAAGGCTTTCGAGTTGCGTTCAAACGGGCCTGCGGTAGGCCAATCAGCGCTCCAGGCCCCGCCCCCCGACGGCGGCCCCAGCCAACCACCGACCAGGAGGAGCCAAAACACGGAGGTCGGCCAATGCCAGGGCGCCCCCGCGGCGTCGGCTCCGCCAATGGGCGCGGCCGGGCCCGAAGAGCAACAGTGTGGCCGGGCCCGCCGCAGGATTCGAATCGAACGTCCGTGTGGGAGCCGGCGGCCGGCCGGGCGGCGCGCGGGCCAATCAGCGGCGGCGGCTCGCGGTCCCCGAACGTTGGGCCCGGCGGCCCCGCCCCGCGCTGTTGTTTGCGGCGTCGGCGCGGCCGCGCGAGCCGAACCACAACATTCGCCGGGCGGCGGCGGCGGCGGCGGCGGCGGCGGCGGAGCTGCGAGCGCGAGCCCGGGGCGGCCGCCCAGCGCCATGTCGGTGAACACGGACGAGCTGCGGCACCAGGTCATGATCAACCAGTTCGTGCTGGCCGCGGGCTGCGCGGCCGACCAGGCGCAGCAGCTGCTGCAGGCGGCGCACTGGCAGTTCGAGGTGCGCGTGGGGGCCGGGGCCGCGGCGGGGGAGGGAACGGGGGAGCGCGGGGCGCGCGTGGGCCGCGGCGGCGGTGGTGGCGGCGAGGCCGGGGCGGCCAGGCCTCGCTCACGCCGCCGCGGCCCGTGTTTGTCCGCAGACCGCCCTGAGCACGTTCTTCCAAGAGAGCAACATTCCCAACAGCCACCACCACCCGCAGATGGTAAGTGCCCCTCGGGTCCGCGGACGGGGCCGCCCGGTGCGGCAGGTCGCTGTCAGGGCGCCGGTGACAGCCATGTTGCCGGGGAGCGGCGCGCCGCGAATGTAAACAAAGAGCCAAAATGTCTTCCAGGAAAGAGCGCTCCCAGGCCGGCGCTGGCTCGCCCAACTTTGGGACCCGCCTCCAGCCTCCTGGATCGGGGCCTGAGGCCCTGCGCCGGGCGTTGTGCCTTGGGCCTAGGGGCCCGGGTGGAGGGGAGGTGAAGGGGAGGGAGGAGAAACGGTCCCCTGTACGGGTAGGGAGTGGGGAGTCTGGTAGAGAAGATGGGGAAGGAACTCGTTGATAATCAGACCTCTGGGGAGCCCAGGGGAGGGAGACCGAAGTAGGGACTTGTGGGTTTCTGCAACGCGCAGACACATACACACACACACATACACACACACACCAGTGCTGCAGGAAGCAGGGAAGGCATAGATCCACCCTGGCTCCGGAAGCCCAGCTCTGTCCCCGAAGGTTGGATGGCCCTTCCAAAGCTTCGGGGGAACATGCCCTGTATGGAGGATATACAGATTTATAGACCCGAGATAAGATTGTGGGTTTTTTTTTTCTTGTTTTGTTTTTCGAGACTGGTTTTTCTCTGTAGCTTTGGATCCTGTCCTGGAACTAGCTCTTGTAGGCGGCTGGCCTCGAATTCAAATCTGCCTGCCTCTGCCTCCGGAGTGCCAGGACTGAAGGTGTGTGCCATCACCGCTGGGCTAGTGGTTTGTTTTGTTTTGTTTTGTTTTTGTTTTGGTCAAGACTTCTTTTAATCTCAGGCCGTTAAAAAGCAAACAGTCCAGGAAACAGAAGTGCCTCAAACCTGCATTTGTCTTCTCATTCCAGCTTGGCTCCAGGCTAAAGCCTTTGCCCTCCTGGTCAGTGGGTACTCTGCTTCCTTGAGGCCCAGGCCATCCCTTCTCCACTCCAATCCCTAGTTATCTATTAGCTCCGAACAAGTAGGAGGGCCTGAGCCCAGGGGAGGGGTGGTAAAACATTATTCCCGAGATTTGCTGTTGGACATTTTTGGCATTTTTTTCTTGGAGCGTCCTTGTCCCTGGCTCTCTCAAGGGACAAGCTGCATATGGCTCCTCTACCGTGTCTTGTTTTTGGCACTGTTTTCTTTCAATCAGCAAGGCCTCCGCCTTGATTTAAACTAGCTCTTAGCCTAGGAGCAAGTTGGGAAAGTGAGAGGTGCTGAAGCCAAGCTCTTAGGATTCATCGTCTTCAAGACCCCTCTCCTGCAGCCAGCCGCGCACAGACTTAGCTTCCTGGACCTGAGAATACTCTGCCTCCATTCCTACTCCAAATTCCTTCCTGCCCACAAGGCCACTCAGAGAAGCACAGCCATGCTTAGGGGCTTGGAACAAGGAAGCTGGCAGGCCCCAGCTTGAACTGGAGTCCTGTTTGGTTCCTTCTCCCCCTCCCCCACCTCTGCACATCCGGGTGTGTGTGAGAGATACCCTTTGGAAGCTTCCCTTGGGGAGGGAGATGGCTGGTTTTGTAACACAGACGTTATAATCAGTGCATCCATCAGGGACACGTGCTGGGTGCTTCCCCAGCACAGTAGGGAACACCGGCCCTGATCTGGGAGTCCTGTTTTTGAGACAAAGTAATTAGAAAACTTTAATAAAAATGTGAAAATCCAACACTTGGGAGGTTGAGGCAGGAGGACTGCTGTGAACTCCAGGTCAGTCTGAGCTCTGTCTAGCAAGATCCTTTCTGAGATGAACACAGTCTCTACAGACCAGTCACCACCAAGTGGCCATAACTGCTAAAGGACTGTCCTACATGCTGCCAGCCTTGGTTTGCGGAAGCATTGTAAATGATAAGGGTCCCCAGTTGTGGGGGGAGGGGCAAGGCGGGCAGTTACAGAGGGGAAGCCTGAGGACCTTGGCCCAGCTAGGGACACATTGAGATCACAGGAGGCCTTTAGTGTACTTAAAAGCAGAGAGGCCCAGGGCTCTGCCTGAAGTGACTCGGGCAGGTGGGCACAGGCTGTTCTCCAGAGCAGGCCGACTGTTGAGGACTGGGGAAGTCAGTCACGGGGCTGTGATGCAACTGCCCTGCCCGCTCACAACCCCCCATTCATTGTTTCCTGCAGCAGACAAGTCATGGGGGTGGGCAGCGCAATGATGGGAGGAGGGAAGTGTCTGGGTGGGGCTAGACCCAGTTGCGGCCTTTGGCCTCCTTGTAGGGGCCTTGGAGCAGACAGTGGTCCAAGTTCCGTGGGAGCTGATGTGGCACAGCGTCAAAGGACAGGCTGAGGTGGGGTCCTTGCCTCACTTTCTGACTTTGCTGTAACTGGAGTGACAGAGTTCTAGCATCCTGTCCTGTGTCTGCCACCCCTACCCCCCAGTGCCCTGTGCCTTGGGGAGGAGCCAGTGTTGCTAAAATTAGAAGCTGAAAGGACTCCCGGTCTCCCGAGGAAGGGAGACAAGGCTTTGAGGTCAGAATCGGTTCCTGTAGTGTAGGTCTTGGGCTCTGATCCACCTGTTCCCAGTCCATGGGTTAGGCAGTGGCACTCGTTACCCCCAAGGAGTGTGCTGCTAGCATCTGGGGCTGGCATGGCAGAGTGCATGTTTGTGCGGGAGCCCAGACCTGAGTGGCTCTTAACCCTGAATGCAGAGTGCTGTTGGGCAGAGGCTTCAGCACCTGCACGCCTGGGACCCTGCACAGTTTGCACCTACTGTGGGTGCGTGCTGTCGTGACTTAACCCTTGGGTCTCAGTTTCCTCATTTGCAATACGGAAAGAAGAATTGAGCTAACAAGTCTACTTGTAGGAAATCTGAGTGGAGGGGGCCAGAGTCCAAGACCTGTTGGCTGAACGTGCGGAATGAATGGAAACCCCAAGAAAGTGCAGGTTTCCTGGCTGGTACTGGAAAAGACCCTGCATCTGGCCTGCTCCATGGTGCCTAACACCCTGGGGCCATCTGAGGGTGGATTGTGGAGGAAGCCAGCTGGCTCCCCTAGTCAGGAAAGGAGCTGGGCTGTGATGTCCTGGGCTGCTCCTTGTCCTTTCATGTTGACACCTTAGCTTTGAGTTGGAATTAACCATTGCTTCCCATGCCCCTTGGTGTTTCCAAACACTGGGTAACACCCTTGGATTTTGCTCTTGACTGAGGGAGATGGGTGGTCTATTGACGCTGTCTGTACTAGAGGCACCAAGACCTTGCAGGTAGCTCTCACCCACACTTTGTTTTCTCTCCACAGATGTGTACTCCCAGCAACACCCCTGCCACACCACCTAACTTCCCTGATGCACTAGCCATGTTCTCCAAGCTTCGAGCCTCTGAGAGCCTGCAGAGCAGCAACAGCCCCATGACAGCGGTGGCCTGCTCGCCCCCTGCAAACTTCAGCCCCTTCTGGGCCGCATCCCCACCCAACCACCAGACGCCCTGGATCCCACCCTCTTCCCCCAACTCCTTCCATCATCTGCACTGCCCACAGCCCACGTGGCCCCCTGGAGCGGCACAGGGGCCCACCCAGCAGAAAGCCATGGCAGCCATGGACGGCCAGAGATGAGACTGGATGGCACTGGGCTGGAGCAGGGGCAGTCCAGGGTTGTGGGGACACAGAGCAGGGCTGGGGAGGGGGACATGAGGGCGGGGTTTCTTGAAGATCGCACTGGAAGATTTTTTAGGAGAATTTTTGTGGGTGGGGGTACAGTAAACATCCTGAGCCACTTGGGTTCTTCAGGAGTTTCTCTTTGGGAAAGTTTTTTCCTCTTTTTAATATATAACTATAATATATATGAATATAAATGTATGTGAGGGGGCCTGCGCGTGAGGGAATCTCTCCTTGTCAACACCTTCCTCTGCCTAATTTGGGGTAACAAGGGTGCTCATTCAGATGGAGTGAGTTTGCAGCTGGGTGGATATGCTGCCTTTAAAGTCACGTTGGCCATTAGGAGCCCCCACCCCAAAGGGAGGTCCCAAAAGGGTCCTGTTGGAATCATCGACTTTCCTGCCCCATCATTGGTAGATGGCGTTTTCATCTCAGCTGGTGGTGGCCTCAGTGGCCCTGAAACTCATCACCCTGTCCCCAGCTGAGTGTGCTGAGCTCCTAGGACTGAAGAGTTGGCTGACCTCTGAGTGGACACTTGGCTGTCCCATCCCTTACTGTCCTGGCTGTCCCACAGGTCTCCAGCCTCTGGCTAGCCACAGAGGAGGACAACTCAGGAGAGCTCTTTGGATTGAGTTCCTAGATTAAAAATCACATCTCACCAGGGTGCAATTTTAATTTAAAAACTTAAAGACTTTTCTAACTTCCCTGGCTTGTGGTTTTTTTTTTTTTTTTTTTTTTTTTTTGCTTTGGTGGGCAAGGTCAATTGGGGCTCTGGCTGGGGCAGCAGTGGTATTGTCGTGCGGCTGTTGTATTTCCTTGGCAAGGGTACATGATCTGATCCCCATTGCTTAGTTGTTGGAGAGTAGAGGCAGGGGGCAAGTCCTTCCCTAGTTGCTGTACCCTCCCTCTCCCTCAGCCTAGAAGCCATTGTTACCATGGGCTGTGTGGTTTCTCAATGGCTGTGGCCTTCAGGCCTCTACCTCTGTTAACCGCTCTACTGGGCAGATTTCTTGGGGCCTTGACCCAAATGTGTCAACAAAGGCTGTCTCGGTGCCACAAAGACTGGATCCCTCAAGGGCTGGGTGGTGGCTCCATACTTCTCAGCCTCAAGCAGAATGTTAGGTAAGGCTGAGCATGCTTGCCTGGCTGTAGGAGTGAGGTTACTCCTGGAGCCCTTCCTCACACTGTTCCCATGGGTCTAAACCCTTCCCGCCACTCCTGAGCGTTAGGGAGTAGGATGCAGAACTGAGTGGGGAGGGAGGGTAGTGCCCCAAGTGAAGTGAAACTTTAGGGCCCAGCCAGAGCCACCCCACCCCTTGGTGGGGTAGAGTGATGGGCCTGCTACCCTCCATTGCTTGTGACACGTGGTTGGACTTAACAAGCTTGGGTTTGGCCTTTCGGTTTTGTTTCCTGGTTGTAACCCCCTGGGCCTCCTCCCAGAGCTGCCCCTGCCCACCTGTGCTTTCCCGGGCAGTAAGGGGAAATCCCTGACTGACAGGGGCTGCTGGGACATGGGCCAGGGTCCATTCAGATGCAGGGCCAACTTGGAGAAAGGGTAGGGCAAGCCATACCCAAGTATGGAGTGGTGGGGGCTGACCCTTCTAGTTTAGGGAATGTGGCTCCTGTCCCTTCATGGCTGTAGACAAGTCATGGGCATGCTTGTGCAGTGTCCCTGTGAGGCTTGTGAATTTGGCTTCTAGACCAGGGAAACTGAGCCGACCTTCTGACATTTCACTGCCAGAGAGGGACCAATGTGAGAGAAACAGGAGCCGAGGGGGTGGGGCTGGCTCTGCCCCTTGCTTCAGGGGTGCCCACGGGATTCGTTGGCCAAGCCGCTCTTTCCACCCAGTCACAAGCAGGATCCCGGAAAGATGCAGAGAAGGGAGGGCACTCCCGGGGCAGCCTCCGTCTCATGACGCCCCTGGCCAAGCCTGTCGGTACCAGCAGTGAGAAACCCGTTTCTTGGCCGTTTCCTACCACACTTTTTCCTGTGTGACTGTTGTCGCCCCCTCTTCTCACACCTCAAAGTGAACATCTTGCCCCAGATGCTTTCCCATGTGAGAGGGAGTGATGCAAACTGCCGTGGGGGTGCCCCATCTTCCACTCCGCACACCTCATTCTGAGGTGGGAATAGAAACCGCTTCGTTTTGAGACCGGTTTTGCCATGTAGCCTTGAGCTCTGGCCCCTCCTGCCTTGAGATGCTTAGAGGGGTAGGGTTATAGGGGTGTCCCTCCACACTCCCCCAGAAATTGCTTTGACGATTCAGGGTTTCTTGAACTCAAGATGGACCAGTCTTTTTTTTTTTTTTTTTTTTTTTTTTGGGTGGGGGGCACCTAGGAACTGTCTGGAGGCCCCAGCTCAAGATTGAGCTGGCTGGCAGCGGTGCCGGGAGCTCTGATCTGTCCAGACCCTGAGCCTCGGGAATCCTGGACAGTGGTGAACGCAGGTGAGCACACTGGGCTGAGTGGCCATGGGCAACAGAACCCTCGGCCTCATACAGTTAAGAGTTCTGCTGCTCACCCCCTTGCTCTCCAGACAGCCGGGCACTGAGCCCCTCCACAGGGTTGCCTTTCAAGCTACATCTGCAACAACTCATCCAGAAGGGCTGTGGAACATGGCTGATGGAAATCTGCCCAGCAGTGTGGGTTTGTTCTTCTGGCTGCAAGCTGTGTGTGGAGCCAGGAGCTGCCCTGAGGCAGCAGCCAGGGAGCAGGCAGCAGATACACCTCACCTCCAAGTAGAGCTAGTGCGCAAACAGCATGGGTCCCAGCCTACTCAGAACGCCTGGGGCTGGTCCTCCAGACGCCCAGCCTGTCCCCTGGTTCCCAGAACCAGGTCGGGCATCTTGCTCCAGCTATCCTCCCTGCCCTGGGTACAACATTCTGCCCTTTCTGAGCTCCTGTATCCTTAGAACAACTCACTGGAGCTGGAGTTCTAGCTCTCTCTGACCATAAACTGGACTTGCTGTCCAGGGAACAGTCTGCTCTTCAGATGGGGGAAGGCCCCGAAGCCCAGCTGCTTGGCCAGCAGCGGGTACCTGCCTCCTGCTCACTCCATCCTCCTTGAAGCAAGACAGCAGAGAAGTCTCCTGGCACTCAGACTCTTTTTTTCAAAACTTTTATTTCTGTCTCTATTTAGTGAGCAGTGGTGGACCTCGGGCCTCGGGTGGGCTCCTCCATCCCCTCCCTAGGAGGCACATCCATGTGGACATTCAGACCAGATGGGCTGCCCTGCAGACCTGCCATCTCTGTGGGGATGGATGCGTGGGCCACATTCGGCTGGGAGAGACGCCCCTCAGAGGAGATGGGTCTGTCTTTCTTTTGCCCTGAAGGAACTGAAAGACAGGAGGGGCTCAGCTTGCTCTGCCTGATCCCCCATGCCCACCAAGGTCCCCTCTAGCTTGCCCAAGGCCTAAGCAAATTGTGAACCACATTAGCCAGGCTGCTGGGCTGGGCCTCACAGTGCAAGCATTCATGGGTGTTTCTGAGTAAATGCTTAAGTCCCTTCCAGGATCCTTGGAGGGGAGCCCTTAGTAATAACGTCCCCCTGCAGGAGGACGGCCTTTCTTCCCAGGAAGAAACAGCCTCTTTGATGACACCTCCTGTTCTTTGAGAGGCAACACTCAGACAGGACCAGAAATTTTTCCACATCACTCAGAGTCTCCAACTTCTAAATGCTAAGTATTTCTAAGTAGAAAGCGCCTGAGATAAGAAAGCCAGGGACCCAGGAGAAAGTCACAGAAACACGCTGTCGTGGCCTATTCTCATTAGTTACCAGTGCCAGCCCTTGAATCCCAGCTTGGCCACTTCCTGTTCCCCTTCTCAGTGCCCCCCCCACACACACACTGTTTCCCTAGTTGTTCCTGGGCTAATGTTGGCTTCTATCTTTTAGTGTAGGTGTGTGAATTAAAACCGGCTCATAGACAAAACCACCTGACCAGCCTGGCCAGCGAGAAGCCCTTAGTGACGGTGGGGTACCATGGCCGCCGTGCCCACCTTTATAGTTTACCCTCCCATCTCTGCTACAGGCTCTCATGGGCGCAGGGATGGAGGTATGGTACAGAGAGCTCAAAGGTCTTAACTGGGGTGCGGGGACGGTGAACGAGTGTCGAGATCCTTGGGTCTCCTGTAAGCCCTCGCAAGACACTGTGTGTGCAGACTGGTAGCAAGCCGCCCTGCCTCTTAGGGGTGCTGGTCCTGCACACACACACACCCACGACAGATGTGGGGAGAGATTGGCTTCGTCACCTGGTGGTGTAGGCCCTAGCCTCACCTTCCAGCGAGGACCACAGGCCTTGTGTGGTAGGACCCAGAGGCCCCTAGCCCCTTGGCCTTCTCTCTGGTCTAGCTTCTCAGAGGAGACCAGGGACTCTGGGGGCTTTCCAGACTAGAGGACACCTATAGGATAGGGTCAGAGTGGCGGAGGTTGGAGGGGGTGGTTGTGTCCTGGGCCCACAGCCTGGCTCTTAGAACATTTGTGTGCCTGGAGCCAGAGAACGGCATGCATCTGTCCCTAGGTCCTCTTGTGTGGAGAAGGACAGAAGCGGTGTTCACCTCACAGACCTGGCACACACCAAACATTCAGCACCTGAGTTCTCTCCATTCTCCCTCCCGTGCCCAGCCTGGGCTGGAAGAGAAGGCTGTCCGGAGGGAAGGAAAGGCCTGGGGGTAGCGTTCAGGCTTCCAGAAGGAAGCTACCTGAATTGCTGTCAGCCAGCATCTGTGCACTCTGAGGCCGAGAGGGTGGCAGGCCGCCGTTGCCCAGGGAAGGCTGTCTGTGCACGTGGGGCCGGGCATGCTGGGCCTGCTGAGCCTGCTGAAGCTGCTGCATCTGCTGCAGCTGATGCAGCTGTTGTAACTGCTGGAGCTGCTGCAGCTGCTTGGACTTGTGCTTTGACATTCCTGGGGCAGGGAAGGACAGGAGGCAGGTCAACACAGAGCTGTGGGGACCCATGGCGATGAGGAGCCAGCCAGGGTGGGATCTTTTACAGCCTGAATTTGTGGCTACGCCCCTTAGAAACACTCGGTTCATCTGCCTATCTACCTGCCTGTCTGTCTGTCCCTCCATGCACCCATCGCCCAGATTCTCTGAGGACTTGTACACATCAGCCTTGTGTAGGGACTGAGAGTTCTGGCCCAGGCTCCCGGTTCAGGAAGCAGACAACAGGGAGGGCTCAAGGCATGATGGGAAATGGTCCGTTATGAACTGGAAGTGGGCTTTCAGGAGGCTTGGTGTTGGAATCAGATAACGGCCCTTTGTTGAGTTTTGGAAAGTCAGTTAGGGCTGGACCGCATTGACAAGGGAACTGAGTCGGAGGTAGGAAAGCTCCGAGGTGGGGGTGTGAGTGAGGATGAAGGCCAGGGAGAAAAGATAGAGCCTCTGCTGGGCAATTGGCTGGGTCTGGCTGCTGCCTTCCACCGGGAAACAGCCACCTGGCTCTGGGGAGGAGAAAGAAAATGCTTGGGGCCCAATGGTCCAGACACGCTTGTACCAAGAGAGACAAATGTCCTTTGGAACCCAAGCAAGAACCCAGAAGGAAGTCAAGGCTGTCTGGAAGCTCACCGTCTTTCCCTAGGATGCCTGGCAACCTGGTATCCATTCGTCCCTTGTAGATGTGTCCATCAAGGCCCAAGATATCAACCTCATCATGCTACGGAGAGAGATGCGTGCCCGTTATCATTGTAACATTCTGAGTCTCCACGGAGGCTTAGAGTATAGACACCATCAGCAAGCCATGCTCAGGGCCCTCCCTGGGAGTGGAGGAGGGGGGCACCTGCCTGTAGCCCTGGCTTTGGGGAGACTGAGGCAGCAGGCATCCCACTGACTTGAAGGCCAGTCTCAGAGATAAAGCTAGTACCAGCCCAGCTCAGCCAGGACGATAAAAAGCAAGACCCCTGTGTGGAGTCTGGGCTGAGTGCAAGCTGGAGGGAGGGAGAGTGGTGTTCCAAGGCCTGTGGCAGAAGGCAGTAGTGTGGTGTCTGGGAGTCGGGTGGGAGGAAGGACGGATTCTACTCATCAGAGAGCCCGGGGCTTGAACTGGGCGAGGACTGTACATCCCAGCTACTTTGGGAGGCTGAGGCGGAAGGATCCTGAGTTCAAGGCCTGCCTGAGCACCTTTGTGAGAAGACCATGTCTCAAAAATAAGAGGTGGCGGGTGTGTGTGTGTGTGTGTGTGTGTGTGTGTGTGTGTGTGTAGAGATGGCTCAGCGGTTAAGAGCACTAGCTGCTCTTTCAGAGGACCTGGGTTTAATTCCCAGCACCCACATGACAGCCCACAACTGTCTGTAACTCCCATTCCAGGGCATTCTCACACCGACATACATACACATAAAATAAAAATGAATAAATCTTTTTTTTTTTTTAAAGTAAACAGAAACTGGGGAGATGCTTGCCTAGCAACCCCTAGGACAGGGAGGAAGAGAAGGAAGGTAGAGGGGGCTCAGGGCAGAGGGCCAAGTGATGGGGCTTTGGGTGGCTTTCCAGAAGGGGCCTAGCAGGGTTATCCTCCCCACGGCCCATCAGACCTTCATGGCAATCTGGATCTCCTCCAGCGGAGACAGGTGCTGAGGGCGGTTTCGGCGGTAAGGGTAGGTGAGGGTGTGGCTGCCCCCACAGCGCCGGGGCACCGTGGAGTAGGTATAGTCTGCCGTATCTACCCCCCTAGGATGCAGACACGGGAGTCGCTTTGAGTCACCAGAAGTGTTACCGGCGACAGGCTGGTGTATAAGCCTGAGGCTGTACACACCACACACCACGCATACGTGCCACTCTGACGCACACACACTCTCACACGGGCACTCTCTCACACACACACTCTCACCCTTCATTCCCCACCCCACCCCCCATCCCTAGCGATGGGGTGAGGCCTTTGCTCTTACCCCCGGGGCCAAGCTTGGTCCTCAGGGACCTGGGTGTCCCCGGGACTCTTGTGCTCTTACCGTTTGTAGCACGGGTGGCTGAGGCATTGAGCGTGCATCAGCTCTCGGATCATCTGGCTGCTGGCCTTCACGGAGCCTCCGAAGTGGATCTGCACCTTCTCGATGTCCATCAGCATCTTGGAGTGCATGCTGCGCAGGCGCCCCACACTCCGCTCCATCTGGGACAGATCGCCCCGAAAGAAGCTGCCGCCCAGCTTCAGGCTGTGAGACGCGGGGTGGGGGGGTGGGGGGGAAGGCAGGAAAGAGGTCAACCCAGGGTCTCGACGTCCATCAGCGCCTTGGAGTGCATACTGCGCAGGCGCCCCACACTCCGCTCCATCTGGGACAGATCGCCCCGAAAGAAGCTGCCGCCCAGCTTCAGGCTGTGAGACGCGGGGTGGGGGGGTGGGGGGGAAGGCAGGAAAGAGGTCAACCCAGGGTCTCGACGTCCATCAGCGCCTTGGAGTGCATACTGCGCAGGCGCCCCACACTCTGGTCCATCTGGGACAGATCACCCCGAGAAAAGCTGCCCCCCAGCCTTAGGCTGTGAGACGGGGCAGAGGGAAACAGGTCACAGGGCTGGACAGAGCTCCGGAGGTTTTTCTCCTGGACCTTGTCTTCACGCTTCCTTTGGCTCCAGGACCCTGTTCCGCAGGACCCTGTGTCAACTGGTCTAGGGACCCACACCATGGATGGGCCCTTGACTGAGGGCTGAGGTGTCACTGGAGGGACCAGACTGGCAGAAGGTTTTTCCCTAGGTTCAAAAGCCCTCTTCCCCCACAAAACAAATACTTAAAATGTAACAAAAACTTTACATACAAAACCAACACAGTTAATCTAGTGCCCGCCCCCATCCCAATCCTGAGCAGAGACTCTCAGCAGCCCTCCCAGGGTGCCCTCTGGAGCCATCTCAGTCAGTCCCCCTCCCACCCCACCCCTGCCCTACCCAGGATCCCACTGTCCCATACTTGCGGCTCTGCTGTCGGACCTGCTCTAGCTCAAACACAGTATAAGGCCGGATAGAACGGTGCCCGGGCATGCTGGGAACTACAGGGGTCATAGAGAGGACTCTGGGCAGGACAGAAGCAGGGGAGGGCATGAGAAATCCCACCACTCGGTAGCGCTAGCCACCCACTGCCATGTTCTAAAGAACATTCCTAATGGCTCAGCGTGGGCCCCTAGGAAGGACCAGGGACAGAAGGGGACCCAGGACAGGAGGTGAGGTGATGGGGACGGGGAGACACACCCCCGGTTGTGCTGTCTTTTCCCTACCACCAGATGCTGTGGGTGAGGTGTGAACACTCACTGTCCAGTCACCGATGTCTCCAGGGGACGGTCGCAGGACAGGCAGTGGAAATGAGCCAAGAGCTGCCTGTCAGGAATGGGATACAGCACAGCAGGTGAGCTCCAGAGAGTTTGGCTCCCCCGTAGGATGGGCCTGCCTGGCAGCTCAGTCCACGAGGTGGCAGATCCTGCTCTACTTCCTGGGCATTCACCTGGCCCTAACCATCCCTTCCAGGCACACTTCCTGAATCAGCTGTCCAACTCAGTGCCTTCTGTAGCATTCTGTATGCCTCTGGTGCCCCCTGGTGGTCACAAGTGGGATTTCCAGGCTCTGGTTCCCAAGGGTCGTCTTAGCCATCTTCACGCCTCAGGGTAGCAAGCACAACTCAACACCAAGAACCTTGCACCTCCTACTGCCTCTCTCCACCATGATCTGAAGGATACGACCAACTTTTTGAGGGGATGGGGTTTCAAGACAGGGTTTCTCTGTGTAGTAGCCCTGGCTGTCCTGGAACTCAGGTTGCATGTAGACCAGGCTGGCCTCAGACTCGCAGAGATCCCCTTGCCCGTGCATCTCAGTACCGAGATTAAAGGCCACCACGCCCTGCTTAGTTATTCAACTCTAAAATGCAGTCCCTCCGCCTGATTGACAGTCCTGGGAAGAAAAGGCCCTCTGGGGCTGCCCAGCGTGCCACCTGTAGGTTCCCCAGTCTTCCTGAAACTCACCTGCGCATGGCAGCTGCCTCGTCTGCCTGGTAGAGTGGAGAGCGCTCTTTGAGCTGCTGCCGCAGCGATTTCCAGCGGTCCTCCAGCATCTGCTTCAGTGGGTCCAGCTCCAGGCGGTCCAGCTGGGAGATGGGCACCGTGTGAGTTTAAGGCAGCAGGTAGATGGGGGAAGGGATCTAGCCTTGGAGAAAGTGGGCGTGTCTGACAGCAGGACCTTGCGTGGAGAGCAGCCCAGCCCGCCCTGCGCCTCCTCCCGCCCTCACCTTGCTGTCCATCTCCGCCAGGAGCTTGTCCAGAAGTTTCTGCCAGTCCTGCTCCTGTCCGCTCATCTTGGCCACCAGTTCCTGCATCATGTGGTTCAGCTGCTCGGTGGTGGCGTCAAATTGGATCCGGCTCACTTTGGACGCCAGGGCGCTCTTGTCTGCTTTCTGCCAGAGATCGGCGCGGGGGGCGTGAGTGTTCCTCCCGGAGTCTGCCCCATCCCATCCTCCTGCGCTGGCGGGGGAGGAGACAGGAAGGCTCCCGGGGTGAGACGCTCACTACATCGATCTCCATCTCCAGGTGATCTCGGTCAGCTTTTTCCTTCTCCAGCCTCTCTAGACCCTGGTACAGCACCTGGGGACCCACAGGACAGAGGAAAGGCAGAGTCAGCGATGCTGAGTGGCGGGGGTGGGCAGGATGGGATGAGCCTCGGCTCCACCCCAGGTGCCCTGGGCCTGCTCACTTCAATGTCTTTCTGCTTCTGCCGATGGTCCTCAATGAGGTTGCTGGTAGTGATGTTGAGCTTCTCGCAGTCGCCCTGGACTTGCAGGATGGCGCTCTGCACGTGACCCAGCAGCTCCTCGTCCTGCAGCGGTGACAGGGAGGCTCTTGGGAGGCTGCTGGGCCGTAAGCAGTCCCCCTTTAGCCCCTATAAGCAGGAGGCTGCCTTTTAGAACTACAAGCAAAAGTCGGGTGTGGTCATGCCGGCTTGTCGTCCCAACACTCAGGAAGCGGAGTGACCGGAAGTTCAAGTACAGTCTGGGCTGCGCAGTGAGGCTTAACAGAGAAGGACAAAGCTCGGGAGGTGGCCCCACACGTAAAATCATTGTTGCTAAGCCTGGTGACCTGACTTCAACCCCGAGGAACTACATGGTGGACAGAAAGAACTGACTCATGCAAGTCGTCCTGACTTCTGCAAGTATGCCGTGATATGCATGCGTGTATGCATGCGTGCGTGTGTGTGTGTGTGTGTGTGTGTGTAATAAACTCATAAATGCTAAAAACAAAACCATCACCCAACACATATGCTCACTTCAAAGTCATTCTGGCTTCCCCAAGTGGCATTCACTGACAGTTCTGTCCCTCAACTGGATGTCGTCACCCGTCCCCCACATGTTGATGGACTGGCATCGGTGGCCTTTGGAGTCCTCAGAGAGGTGACTGAGGCTTATTAGAGATGTGCTACGTTGCCCCACGGTCCCTGAGAGGTGAGGTGTGGGCAACCATCTGGGCTCCATCTGAAACCCTGAGTCCAAGAGCAGAAACCAGGATCTGGTGGTGACCCCTACCCCAGCCGCAAGCTTTCCCTCCTGGGGACGTCTAGAAAGTTCTGGAAACGCTGGCAAGTGAGGGAAGCTGTGTCCTGGAGCTGTGCCAGTGCCCCTGTGTTCCATAGCGGGCACTGTTTCAGCCTTGGTCCACCACCCTCCCTGTATTCTGCTCTCTTCAAAGCCAGCTCTGCTGCTGTCTTCACGGCGAGCTGGGTAAGAACCAGCCTTATGTGGGATCTGGCTAACGGGTGGGTGCCAGCGTGGGAGCCTGACCCACGCGGCTTCTGTGGGCCCACTCCAGGGGGCCACCTGCAGCCAGCCTGTGAAGGAGCCGAGCAAAGACTCACCTGGCTCTGCAGCTTGGCCTTCTTGGAGGGCCTCGAGGCAGCCAGGCTGCTGACCATGTCCTGCAGCTGCTCATAGCGCTGGACCAGCAGGCTGACTTGGTGGCCCACATCCAGACTGCAGGCTGGGCAGGTGGCCTCAGGGTCGATCTGGCCGGGCACCAGGGTGCTGGTGGACTTGTGCGGGGTTATGCTCAGGGACAGCAGCGTGGAGGAGGAGCTCAGCATGCTCTCAATGATGGTCCTGAGCTTGTCCAGCTAGACGCAAGGCAGACATGAAGGGGGCGGAAAGGTCGGCCAAAGTCACATCTCACCACTGCCGCTGCACATTCAGCCTCTGCCCCGCTTTGACACAGGACAGTTACTGCCTCCTCAGCACCTCACAGAGGATACCGCAGGCACACAGCAGACAGTTGAACTCTCCCCCATCAAACAGTTTTCAAACACTTTTTTTTTTTGGCCAGTGGGCAGCATTAATGACAAAGGAAGCACCTGTGTGGGGAGATCCCTCTAGCCAGTCTGGGGGTCCAGCGTGAGGACGCAGCTTCTGTAGCTAAATTCTAAAAGGATGGTCTCCCGTGATGCAATGCTCTTTCAGCACTGGGGGTGCGGACAGCGGGCTTTTTACACATGCAGTCTCTTCTCTCAGCCAGGATGGAAACTCTTAAGGATAAGCCAATGTGAGAAGCACAAATACAGCTAGGGATCTCTTGGGGTCTGAAGGCACAAGCTCCTTCCAGGGAGAGCTGCTCAGCCTGGCCCTTCGCCTTGCCTTTCTTCCCAGGGTCTTAGTGTGTTACCACCAATGGTTGGTCCTGGGTGGCCAGCTCGATTCAAGAGCAACCAACCTAGGCCGGCTAAGGATGCTGCCCGGCTCCACGAAGGGACACCATCCCCTCTTGTTGGGCAGTGACACCAAACAGATGGTGCCGGAGCTTAGGGAAGATATTTGAGAGGGTGAGAGACACACGTGTTGCTAGGCGACAGAATGGAGGAAGGTATGCACAGCCAGGATGGACGAGAAGAAAGGTACACATACGAGCCAGGCCCGGGAGGTCAGGGCGAGCTGCCTGCCTCAGGCTGCCTGGGACTGGGGTTTGCTCCTGCAGGCCCACATGCAACGCATTGCCCTTTTGTTCTGGGGTCACACAGTCATCAGCTTCCTAAGAAAGGGTCCTGAACGAAGGCCAGCGTGGCTGAAGGCTGCTAGGAGAAAAAAAAGGCACCCGGTTCTCTGGGTCAGTCCTCAGGAAAGTTGGCTGTCTCAGTGGAGCCTTCGAGAACAAAAAGCGAATTCCTGGGAAATGAGGACCAGCAACATGCCAGAAAGAACAGCTTAAGTGTGTTAGGAGAAAGGCAGGAAGGCCAGGTAGCCAGAGCCTGGCAGTGCAGGAGGCATGGAAGGTGAAACTTTCTGGAAAGGATGCTGGGCTACCGGGAGCCCAGGTATGGAGGGCTTGTCCGGGAGCCCGGGTTCCCTCCCAGCATTGCAGAGAGAAAACAAAAGCAAAGCAAACAAAAACACTGCAGAGGAGGTGGGGGTTGGGTAGGGTAGCTCTCTATGGAGTCAATGTGAACTTGGGGCTGGCAGGAGTCCCTTGACTCTTTGAGCCTCTTCCTGCCCTTACAGATGGTTGTGAGCCATTATGAGGGTGCAGAACCCAGGCCCTCTGTTTCTGTACTCTGAGGGGATGGTATGCGTGTGGACACGCAAGGACAAAAGAACCAGAATATAAATAAAAATCAATTTATAAAGATGAAAAATAGAATGAAGGGCAGGAGAGATGGCTCAGTGACAGAGAGCACGTGTGACTGTGTGACTTGTCCGGAGAGCCTGAGTTTACACCCACAGCACCCACAGCAGGTATCTGAGTCCCCTGAGCTCGAGCTCCAGCTCCAGGAACCTGACGCCTCTGCCCCCTGAGCAGCACTCCCTCCACACACCCGTGGCACATGAGTCACCAAGAGACAAGCTTGTGCAGAAAAGAAGAGCTCTTGGGGCCTCAGTCTTAGACAAAACAAAACAAAACGAAAAAAACTGAGCAGAAGACAGCGTCTCCTCCAGGGAAACTACACCAATACCAAATGGTAACATAGCCCCGAAAACATACATATAAGTGACATATGAACTAAGCAGGCTGTACTTTTTATTTATGTGCCTTGGTGTTTTGCCTCTAGGAAGATGCTGGCTACCCAGGAACTGGAGTTACAGCTGTGAGCTGCCATGTGGAGACTGGGAATTGAACCTCGGTCCTCTGGAAGAGCAGCCAGCGCTCTTAACCCTTGTGCGATCTCTCCAGCCCGAGATGGTTGTACTTTTTGTTTTTAATGATTTATATATTCTTATTTTATATGTATTGGTGTTTTGCCTGCATGTATAGCTGTGTGAGGGTGTCAGGTCCCCTGAAACTGGAGGTACAGACAGTTGTGGGCTGCCATGTGAATTCTGGGAATTGAACCCAGATCCTCTGGAAGAGCAGGCAGTGCTCTTAACCTCTGAACCATCTCTTCAGACCCCTGTACTTTTATATTTATGAACACACACACACACATACCGCACACGCATGCACACACCGACCACCAACAGCAATGGAAGAAAAAGAGGCCATCAATTTGAAAGAGAATAAGGGAGGGCTTATGGAAGGACTTGAAGGAAGGAATGGGAAGGAGGAGGTGATGTAATTATATTATCACAAAAAGCAGGAAGAAAATGATCAAAAATAATAAAATACCCCTAAAAGATGTATTTTATGACAGGTGAATTACAAGAAATACACAAAAGGAAAGAGGCAGTGAAGGAACCTATCTCAGCTCCTACACTCCTACACTGATGCCCTTGTCCCCAGCCCATAACCCCTCCCATCCTGCAATGCTTTGGCTAGGAAGCATCCCCCAGAGGTCTGAACCGAACCCTTGTTTCCACAGCTGTTGCTCCCTTCGTGCAGACGCAAACAGAATCTGCTAGCTGCCTGTTCTGGCCGCCATACTTTCCTCGTCATGGCAAACTCTACCCTTCTCTAAGCTGCTTTTGGTCATGGCATTTTACCACAGCAACAGAAAAGTAACTCGGAACTGGTCTCCACTGGGGGAGGACTGCTCTCTGCCTCGAACTCTGGGGGTGGGGGTGGAGGCCCTGGGGCCTTGACCACGGACCGCTCACCTGATCCTGTAGGTAGAGGGAGGCTTCAGAGACTGAATTCTCCATGGCAGCCTTGCCTCGCTCTTGGCTCTCCCTCAGCTCAGACAGCTCCTTCTCGATATCGGAGACCGTGACCCTGCAATGTCAAAGGACAGCGGTTCCGGGCTCAGTCATGCAGAGGCCTGGCTGTCGGGGACACAGCAGGACGAGAACATCTGGAACCCCTGTTTAAGAGTCCCAAATGGGGTCCTGTGGTGGAGACATAGCATCTCTGGGCTCCTCCAGGTCCTGGTGCTGATGTCTGCCAGGCCTCGAACAGACTAGGGTAACCTGAAGAGTTGGTACAATCCAGGCGAGAGACACTGGTCACTACACGGGGGAGGCAGAAGGCCACCTCCACCGCCTGGGCTTTAACCATGACGACAGCCAGGGTGCCAGCGGAGAGAGGGTGTCACCTGAGGATGCCCAGCTGCAAAGTCAGCTGACTGGGCTTCATTTCCTTCCCTGAAGAGCTGTCGCCCTCTATCAGCCTCTGTATCTTCTCCAGCTGCAAATAGAAAGCAGGGAGGCCAGCTGTCAGGCGGACCCGAGTGTCTGCTGCCAAAGGCGGCCCTCGAGAGATCCAGCCCTCTGCCATCTCACGGCTGAAGCTCTGACAGTGGCCTCTCTCTCTAGATGTGACATGAGGAGCAAATGCGTGTCCAGGGCCCCCTGTATTTTAAAGGCTCTGCGTACCCATCTTCACGGCTGAGGTGGGGTTGTGTTTTCTATATGACTGGGTGATAAGGATCCGCTGAGACCCCAGCGTAGGGGGAGGGCCTGTGGGCATCCAGCCTAGCAGAAACCACCCAGTCTCTGATTCACCTCAGGACTCTAAGGAGGCTGACCCTCCCTTACGCACTCTGTCCTTGTCCTTCCGCACTTCCTTGGTCAAGGTCTTTAGGCTCTTCATCTGCTCCTGCAGGTCCTGAGGTATGGTCTTTTTGACTGTGGGATACGGAGACTGCCATCAGGGTGTGGTTCCCATTGGTCTCCCCGCCTGTTTCCAGTCCCTTCCCTTGGTGAGGAACTGACCCCAGAGGTTAAGCGGAAAGATGACTTGGTCCTGCTTCTCTGGTGACTGAGCAAGGAGGCAGGGGAAGCGGGGAGGACCGGTATGTGCCCAGAGTCTCACCCGCTGCCCCCCCCCCCCCCGTCATTCTCATCTACCACTGTGTGAGTGAGCAAACATTAAGCTTCGTTCTAGAACTCTCTCGCTTGCTGCTCACCTCCAGGCTCTGGCCTCCAGTGAGGCACATGGCCAGTCCCTCCCCTCCCCCACCTTGCCTTAGTTTCACACCTTCCTGTCTGTTCCTCAGGCCTCCCCAGCGGCTGTGGGTGTGAGAGGAGTCACATCTGGGCAGGAGCGTGCTCTGCTTGTGGGGGTGGGGATAGGGTGACACCCAGGAGGAAGGCCAAGGCTGCTTTCCGTCCACAGGCGGTGACACTCACCCATCATGGAGAGGAGGTACTGGACTTTATCCAAGTCCGACTGGCCAGAGAGTTGCTCATCCAAATCCTTCATGTGCTCCTTCAGTTCCATATAAAGGCTAATAAGCTCGCCCATCAGGCGGAATGTTTCCACCGCCATGGGGAAACTTGGGGCCAATTTTTCCAGCGACTCCTGCCGCTCGCTGTGGACCTCACTGCCTGAGGAGACTTGCTGGGGGTAGCTCAAGGACACGCGAGTGCTGGAGTCAGTGGTGTCTTGGTCTGGGGTCGCCAATTCAAATTGAACAAAGGCATGTTTCCTGCTCGGATCCCAAGAGGCCTGGCTAGACACATCAACCATGTGTCCTCGGCTAGGGTAACCCAGGACAGCCTGTGTTTGGTCATACTGGATTCTCGGGCCTTGATGATCTGGGCCCTGACGGTCCGTGACAGGAAATTTATCTTGCCTGGCTTGTTCAGGAGTTAGATATAGATCTGGTGGAAAGCCACGGATCTCTATGCTTGGTGCTATGAAGCCTGGTTGACTTGAAACGGGTTGTCTCAAACCACGTGGATGAGGAGCACCAGGAGGGTATGCACCAAGTGGAGCCAAGCTAGGCATGTGAACACCAGGCTGAACCAAACCAAGAGGGCCTGTACCAGGTTGAACCAAGCCACGAGGGCCCACACCAGGCTGAACCAAGCCACGAGGGCCCGCCCCAGGCTGAACCAAGCCACGAGGGCCCGCCCCAGGCTGAACCAAGCCACGAGGGCCCACACCAGACTGAACCAAACCAAGAGGGCCCACACCAGGCTGAACCAAGCCACGAGGGCCCACACCAGACTGAACCAAACCAAGAGGGCCCACACCAGGCTGAACCAAGCCAAGAAGGCCTGCACCAGGCTGAACTATTCCTGGTTGCATCATACCAAGCCCAGCTGCCCTGGGCTGCAACAAACCAGGCTGATCTACCCTGGGCTGTAGTGAGCCAGGCTGCACCAGGCCATGCTGAACTGCTCCAGGCTGCCGAATTGCACCAGGTTCCATAAAACCATACTGATCCATGCCAGGTTGTGTCAAACCCTGTTGACCCATCCCAGGTTGGGATAAGCTGCTCTCCTCTGCACCAGGTGGTACCGAACTACTGCGATCTATTCCAGGTTGCATCCAATCGAGTTGATCTACGACAGGTTGCATCAAACCACGCTGATCTTCACCACGTTGTGCTACACTTGGCTGAACCAAACCATATTGACCTATACCAGGTTGGACCAAGCCAGGTGAATATGTATCAGGCTGCATCCAACCACCAGGGAATGTCCCAGGTTGCACCAGGCCACGCTGAACTGCGCCTGGTTGTGCCATATCGAGTCCATCTACACCAGGCTGCGCATAACTCCAGTCTGCACCAGGCTGCACAAAAGGTTGTACCAAACTATCCTGAATTATACCAGGTTGCATCAACCCAGGGGCATAAGCACCTGGTTGTACCAATCCCTGCTGACCCATTCCAAGTTGTGCCAAACCATGTTGTTCTACACTAGGTTGTACCAAACCAGGCAGAAATGCACCAGACTGGACCCACCTAGGCTGATCTGTGCTGGGTTGAACCCAAACAGGCTGACCTGTGCCAGGTTGCACTAAACCTTGTCCTGTGCCAAGTTGTGTCAAATCAGGTGGATATACACCAGGCTGAATCAAGCTAGGCTGGCCTGTATCAGGAGGTACCAGCTGTTGGTCTGTGCTGGGCTGTACCAAACCATCCCAATCAGCACTAGGTTGTACCAAATCACGTTGCTCTGCCCCTGGCTGCACTGAACTCGGCCTAGCTGTTCCAGGATGTGCTGAAGCTTGCCAGCTTGCCTCAGGCTGCACTGGGCTCCGCTGTTCTGCCCCAACAGGTGCTGAACTTCGCCTCTCTGCCTCAGCCCGCACGGAACTCCGCTGATCGGCCCCAACAGGTGCTGAACTACGTCTATCTGTTCCAGTCTTCATCAAAACACGCGGGTCTACACCGGGCTGCACCAAGCCACGCTGATCTACACCGGGCTGCACCAAGCCACGCTGATCGACAATGGGCTGTACTACACCACGCTGATCTACACTGGGCTGCACCAAGCCACGCTGATCTACACCGGGCTGCACCAAGCCTCGCTGATCTACACCGGGCTGCACCAAGCCACGCTGATCGACAATGGGCTGTACTACACCACGCTGATCTACACCGGGTTGCACCAAGCCTCGCTGATCTACACCAGGCTGCACCAAGCCACGCTGGTCGACGCCGGGCTGCACCAAGCCTCGCTGATCTACATCAGGTTGTGCGAAGCCTGGTGCTGCTAAGCTGGGCTGTCCAAAGCCTTGTCGATCTGTACTAACTTGCATCAAACCAGGTGACATCAAGCCATATTGATCTGGAAGAGATGGAGGGAATGCACGCTGATCTATGCCAGGCATTACCAATCCCTGCTGATCCACACCAGGGGCGATTAGTCCTTGCTGACTTGTGCTTAATATTACAAATCCATGCTGATTTATGCCAACTGGTATCAACCCTTGTCTACTCGTGTCCCATGGTACCACACCACTGTCATACGTGATAGCCTGTTCCATGCCAGGTTGGTCTGTTCTAGGAAGGATCACGGCTTGCTGATACATGCTGAGTGGAACTGTAGCAAGCTGAGTTGTACTAGCTTTTTCCAGTCTTTGTTGACCCCTGTCAGGTACCGACGGTGGCATTACACCACTCTCATCCATAGCGAGAGGCATCAATCCCTGCTCATCCATCTCTGGTGGTAATACACCCAGCTGAGGTATAGTGAGGGGCATCACAGCTGGAGGATAAGGGCCAGGATAGAGCCCTGGAGGTTGATCCATGCCAAATGGTGCGATCCTACGCTCCTCTGGACTTGGCAAGACTTGGTCCTGACTAGCGGGTGCCCCAACATGCTGGTCTCTGACTGGAGGTACGACTTTTGGGGTTGGGCCAGGCTGTTGTTCGTCTCTTCTTTTGCCTGTGGGAGCCGCAGACTCTCTCATCCTCTGGCGATCTGCTTGTGATGTGACCTGGGATGGCTCCCGGGCCCGTGAGGGCAGATCTCTGGCTCTGCTCTGGTCTCTGCTAACGATCCTCTCAGGGGGGCGCTCCACACCGCTGGCTAGCATCATTTCTGGGCCACCAGCGGAACCCAGAGCCTGGCCATCAGCGGGGGTCTTGGGAAACAGTCCACTTGGAAGGTCGCTTGATGTTGACAATGTCATTTTACGCTTGCCAAGCGTTGCCGACGATGAATCTGAGCTCTGGGGAAAGAGGAGGGAGAGTGGTTACAGTCGCTAAGAAACTGGAGAAGCTGAAAGCAAGGCTATCTTGGGTATTGGCTAGGATGACTTAAGGCCCTTGCAGAAAAGCAGCCCCGTGCGTGTGTGTGTGTGTGTGTGTGTGTGTCTGTGTGTGAGAGAGTGCGAGTGTGTGATGCTGGGCATTAAACCTGGGCTGTGGAAGTATTAGGCAGGTCCTCCACCACTGAGCCGTATTCTGAGTCCCTTGTTTTTACTCTTTATTTTGAGGCAGGGGCTCCATAAATCATCTAGGCTGGCCTTGAATTTCTCATCCTCCTGCCTCCACCTCTGGAGTGCTGAAATTACAGCCGTGCTCCATTATGCGCAGTTTGTCAGTGGTGCAAGGACTGACCCCAGCATTCTGTGTATGCTCAGCAAGTAACACCAACCAAGCTACAGCCCCAGCCCCTGGCGTGGCTTTTTAAGACAACCCCCAGGTTGGCTTTGAATTTACAACTTTCCTTCCTCAGTCTCCCTGCCTCTTACAAAGACCTTTGTGGTAAAAACGTCTTATCTGCAGGATCCAGGGGATTCTCCTTCAAGATCCTTAACTTCATCAGACCTGCAAAGTCTCTTGTCGTTGAGAGGGAATAATGAAGGTTTTTAGGAACGACGTTCTTGGGGGCTATTTAGCTAAGCACAGAGACTAAAGACACATTCTGCGAAATCCGAGAAAAGTGACCACAGCAGCGACAGAAGTTGTGGGAAACAGAGTCCTAGACAAGGTGATGCTGTTTTTGTCAAGGGTGTCAGATGAGGCCCACGCCTGTCTGAGGATGCTTCATGTATGGGCAGAGCGGCAGCCTAAGGAAAACGAAACTTGAGCCGGGACAGTGGCATTTGCTCACTGACTGACTCTTCCCAGCCTACCCTGGATTTTTCTCTTCTTCCTGGCTCTCAACAGGGACTTGAAAAGTGGACTTTTTTTTTGTTTTTGTTTTTTTCAAGACAGGGTTTCTCTGTAGCTTTAAGACTTTTGTCTTTTGCTTTACCTTTAGACCTTTAGCCTGCGAGGCACCAAAGCTCAGTGTTTCATAGGCTTTGTTTGTTTTGTTTTTGTTAGACAGGGTTTCTCTCTGTATTCCTGGCTGTCCTGGAACTCACTCTGTAGGCCAGGCTGGCCTCGAACTCACAGAGATCCTCCTGTTTCTATTTCCCGAGTGCTGGGATTAAAAGCATGTGCCACCACCACCCAATTTGGCTTTTGTTGTTGATGATTTTTGTTTGTTGAGACAGGGTTTATCTGTGTAGCTTTGGAGCCTGTCCTGGAACTAGCTCTTGTAGACCAGGCTGGCCTCGAACTCACAGAGATCCGCCTGCCTCTGCCTCCCGAGTGCTGGGATTAAAGGCGTGCGCCACTGCCACCCGGCTTCTTAGCCTTTTTTTTTTAATTAAGATTTTTATGATTTAGCTATTTTGAGACAGGGTCTCATTATGTAGTCGTGGCTGACCTGGAACTCTTCATGTGGCCTAGCGAATCCTGTCTACAAAGGTCATGTGAAAATAACTAGGCTTGCCAAGCGTGTGGCAATCACGTGTACCAGCTCAGGATGGACAGACACATTATCGGGGGGCCTCTTGCTAGGTCACACTCCGGGGTTCTGATCAGCCTGGTCCTAAGGGTCAAGGAATGAATGCTTTTTAGGATGGGCTGTAAAGGAAGTCTGAAAAGCTAGAGAAGCAAAGGAGAAGGGGCAGCATCCTCTACACGGTGCACTGGCAGAGCTCGACAGTGTGGGCACTGGCATGCAGTCTAGGTGCGAGGAGGCTTAATCTCTCTCCACGCTGCCGTTGGACTCTAAGCTGGGGCAACATACAATCGCAATAGGGAGACAGAGCATGAAGGTGTGCTTCCCAAACCCAGGAATTTATCCGGTTCACTCAGGTCAATTTTCCTGGGAAAATTATTTTAGATCTCTGCAACATAGAATGTACAGAATAAATCATGAAGATGCAAATACCAGAATATGGAACGGTGGTAACTATAAGATGTGTTCTCTGGAACCCCGCCCAAGGCCACTGCCCAGGACCCCTGTGGGTTTACCCCTCTTGAAGCTTTCCAGCCATCAGTGATTGCTTGTTCCAGCTCCTCCCAGGTGACCAAGGTGAGTTCTTCAGTACCTGGAGCAAGATTCAGCCTCCGATTCAACTGATCCTGTCAGGAACAGATCGAGACACGGACACACACATGTGCGAACATGAGTACACATAACACATTCATCCTGCAGAGCTGACCCACAGGCTTGAGCGGGTGCCACCACCATTCCCAGCCTCAGAAAGATTCACTGGCTTTCAGCCACCAGCCAGGAGGGCAGAACCGGCCAGTTGGTTTGTCTCCCATCGACTCTGGATAGAGCCCTGAGCAGAGATGGCAAGGCCATCTCTTCTCCCCACTAGCCAGACATGGTGTCTCTTAGGGGCAGAGTGCCTGTAACCTCATCCCGAAAGGACATAGATACTGGCGTGGGGGAGGGGAGTTGGGACCATCTCTAGAGAGAAACCAGACTGAAGAGAAACCCTCTACTCGGGGCCCTTTCCCCAGGGCTTGTCCATATTACCAGGTATTCTTCTCGGTCTTTGACTACCTTCTCGAGTTCATTGACACGCTGAAGGAGCTCCTGGAAGCAGAGTTTGGGAATGGGCCGTCACTCAGCCTGCGTGTCTGCACCACGTGCACATGTACACACATGCACACGCTCACACATGCACATACACACACATGCACAGCGCCTCGGAACAAAGCAGAGAAGGAAACGAGGTGTGTGTGGCTCTCAGTGAAGGGCCGGGTTTCTGCCCAGTTTTATCTGGGAGGTAAAGCCAGGTTCCCAATTCTTTTCCTTGTCAGTGGGAAGGAGGGAAGTGGGTTGCCGAGGCAGCAGTAGCAATAGTGCCCGGTGTGCCCAGTCCGTGTTCATGTGGGGCTGAGACCGCTAGCCTTAGCTTTACCTCACACTGCCCACTGCCAAAGCTTCCAGCCCTGCAGCACAGGGCCTACCTTGACTCTCCAGAATCAAATACCAGGTCCCTCAGCATCCCGCCAGTCTGAGCCGGGGCAGGAGAAAAGCTCTCAAGGGTCCCAGCAAGTGACCAACACTTCAGTTGTACTTTACGACGTGTGCTGACCGCCAGGATCTAAGACTAGATTCTGAACAGATCTTCCAAACTCAAAAATCTAGAAAAGGCCGGGCATGGTGCTGCGTGCCTATTATCCCAGTCCTTGGGAGGTGGCTAAAAGGATCCGGAGGTCAAAGCCAGCCTTGGCTACACAGTTAAATTCAAGGCCAGTTGGACTACAAGGAGACCTTGTTTCAGAAAAATAGTGGGGGGCTGGAGAGATGGCTCAGAGGTTAAGAGCACTGCCTGTTCTTCCAAAGGTCCTGAGTTCAATTCCCAGCAACCACATGGTGGCTCACAACCATCTGTAATGAGGTCTGGTGCCCTCTTCTGGCCTGCAGGCATACACACAGACAGAATATTGTATACATAATAAAATAAATAAAATATAAAAGAAAAAAGAAAAATAGTGGGAACTGGGTGGTGATGCGTGTCTTTAATCCTAGCACTGAGGAAGCAGAGGCAGGCAGATCTCTGTGAGTTCGAGGCCAACTTGGTCCACAGAGTGAGTTACCAGGACAGGCACTAAAGCTATACAGAGAAACCCTGACTCAAAAAAATCAAATCAAAATAAAACAAAACAAATAGTCGGGCAGTGGTGGTACATGCCTTTAATCCTAGCAGGTGGGTCTCTGAGTTCAGGTCAACCAAAAAAAAATTACATGCTGAAGGCTGCTGCCCTACAGACCGCTCCAACTAACACTGGCTACACCCACGTCCGTATTTATCTGTATGTAACAACTCTGCTGCTTTGTTCCGCTGTACATGATAAAGACACTTCGGGATGGTGGTTCCTTTTTCTGAGAGCCTGTACTACTCAATCTCAACTTTCTCCCCCCAACCCAACCCCCAACTCCCACCCCCTTTGTGTGTGTGTGTGTGTGTACACATGTGTGTGCGCGTGCACACGTGTGTGTATGTGTGTGTGTGTGTGCGTTCCTCGTTCCTTTGCTGCCTATGCTTTAACCTCTGAACCAAGTCTCTAGGTTATTTATTTATTATTTTGATTTTTTTTTTTTTTTTTTTAAGGCACGGTTTCTCTGTGTGGCCTGTGTAGCTTTGCAGCCTGTCCTGGAGTTCAGTCTGCTTCCAGAGTGCTGGGATTAAAGGCGTGCGCCACCACTGCCCAACCACTGTCTCCCTCTTTTTTTTTTTTTTTTTGATTTTTCAAGATAGGGTTTCTCCGTAGCTTTTTGGTTCCTGTCCTGGAACTAGCTCTTGTAGACCAGGCTGGCCTCGAACTCACAGAGATCCACCTGCCTCTGCCTCCCGAGTGCTGGGATTAAAGGCGTGCACCACCACCGCCCGGCTACTATCTCCCTCTTGATGTGTTATTAGTGATCCTAGGAAACGGGATGGGCTGCAGAGTGGTGCAGCAAGTAAGAGCACCGGCTGCTCTTGTGTAGAGGACTAAGGTCAAGATCGGTAATTCCAGTTCCAGGGATTTGACGCTCTCTTCTGGACTCCTCAGGCACTGCATGCATTGTGGGTGCACGCACCTGCAAGCGAAACACTCATACACAAAAAGTAAAATTAAAGCCGGGCGGTGGTGGCGCACGCCTTTAATCCCAGCACTCGGGAGGCAGAGGCAGGCGGATCTCTGGGAGTTCAGGCCAGCCTGGTCTGCAAGAGCTAGTTCCAGGAAAGCCAGGGCGACACCATGAAATCCTGTCTCGAAAAGAAAAAAAAAAATCACAAACATACAATAACAAAAAAAGAAAGAGAGAATGAAAGAAAAAAAGAAAGAAAAGAAAAAAGGAGAGTTGTGTCAAAGGATCACTCTACTTGTGGGGTATGGCCCCTGGGATGTCCTCACCTGGACATTCAGCTCAGGTGACTCCTGCGCCTTCTGGTGGGCTTCTTTCAGAACCTTCACCTCTTCTATGAGGTCTTGGAGCACACTCGAGGACTGCGAGAGAGTAGGAGCCGTGTGAAGCCGGGACTAGCACCTCTATCAGCTTAGGAACTGCAGGGTAGCCAGAAGGCACAGAGGCTCCGCAGGGTCAGTCTACCTACCTTGGCTGGGCTGGTATCTTCCTGAGTCTTTACGAGCTTTGGTTCTGTCTTGGGGGGCATCCCCACTGTGGGCTCAGACTTGTCCACCATCTCCGTGGATTCGTAGATCTTTGTGGGCTTTGTCAGAGATGTCTGTGGGGATATACGTGGGGATATATGTGGGGCCAGCAGAGCCGTCTCCTCTTCCGTCTTGGGGAGCTCCTGGAAGAGGTCAGTGCCTGTGGAGATGTGTTCCACTTGCGTGGCAATGCCCTGCACTTTGTTGTCCATATTCTTAAGCTGCTTGCTGAGGTCCAGGACCTGGCTGCCCAGGTCCTTCATCTGGCTCTCCAGGGTCTGCTGAGATGACTGTTTGGTCACACTCCGGCGCTTCTCTTTGCTGCTTGGCACTTGTGGGGTGCTGATGGCATCTCGGATCGACTCAGCTGAGGGGCCAGGCTCAGTCGCCGACGGGTTGTGGAAGTCAATCGCTACCTGTTGGAGGTTGAGGCTCTTGAGTATGGCCACTATCAGGGTATGCAGGGCCGTGAAGTTCACCGCTCCCACCTCTGGAGTGCCAATCGCCAAGTCGGCCAGCTCCCGGAGGGTGACCCTGTTGGCTGCTAAGGGCGGCATTGTGTGCTGTTGGGATCCGCGGGGAGCCCCAGGGAAGAAGGGCGAGCAGGGCTCGGCTTGCTCCTTGCAGAACTAAGGGGCCACCAGGGCTCTCAGCAGGTGACCCTGCTTGTGGCTTTGTGGCCTCCAAACTGGACCCCTAGGCTCCTCTCCTCCGTTCCGGCCAGTGGACGTTTGGAACGAGGGCGCACGGTTTGCAGCCCCCGCGTTGCTGAGGCGCGGGACTGCAGAGATTCTAACTAAGAACGTGCGCTGGGGCCAGCCCTCACTGCGACCATACTCACGGTGGAGGCTTAGACCACACCCCAAGGTGCCTCCAGTTTTTCAGTAATGCTCCCAACGAAGGGGTAATGGGCCTGGGCCAAGAGCATCAAGTCGGTTTGGAAGGAGAGGCTGCGGTGTCTTTCTGTGGGTCCACCAGACTCCAGGCTCTCAACAGAGAAAGCCAGATAGATCCTGGTGGCTCTTGTAGGCCACCAGGCACACAATGATTTAAGGGGTATCATGGCGACTTGCAGCTAGGTAGGCAGGTCTAAGGGATATAGTGCCCGTGGCAGGTGTGTGGGGGGTAAGGGGGGTCTTTTCATCTCTTTGGGGGCGTTTCTAGATAATTTTGTTCACTCAAGAGTCTGGCAAGGCTGTCCTACCCTCATTCAGCTCAAAACAGAACTCAGCTGAAGTCTTCTATCAGAAAACAGTATCCGACAGCATTTTCCCCTTTCTGGTCTAAATAAAAAGGAAGGTTTTAACTTTAACATAATTAAATTATATACAACAAAACAGGTATCAAGTAGAAATTACAGTTAGAATATCCAGTCCATTTGTATTTGGCAAAGCTCAGAGAAAATATTGTTATCTATTTTATCTTTGTGAGTCTAAAGTTTCATATCTAATTTCCCTTTTTGTCATACTTTTGTGATTTTTTTTTTTGTCTTTTGTTTTACAAGATAGGGTTTCTCTGTAGCTTTGGAAGCCTGTCCTGAAACTCACTCTGTAGACCAGGATGGCCTTGAACTCACAGAAATCTTTCTGCCTGTCTCTGCCTCCAGAGTAAGGGGATTAAAGGCATGTGCCGCCACCACCACCTGGCTAATTGTATATATATTTATCATGGACAGTATACTGTCAGCAATTAAGGCAAGGGAAGTTTCTTTGCCCACATAATTAGCTTTTGCCGTAAAGAAAGCAAACTCCATGCAAAGTTTCTTTGATATCTGTTGTCTTCTTTTGAAGTAAATGGGTCTTGTTAGGAGCAGACATGTCTCACTGTCATGAAAAGCCTTAAGTTATTAAACATATTAAATGCCAAGTTCTATAGGTCTTTGAAGTGTTTGAAGATCATCTATCAACCTGTCTATCTATGTAAATATATCAGTGTATGACCTTGAAAACATACTTAACATGACTACAGATTTGATTTTAATAGGCGATTCACTACTAACTTGCATTTTTCTATTATCCTAAACAGTTTGCAGTAATTTTCAACGACTAAAAATGTATATTAAATTGTTAAATGAGCTGCATGTCTTAAACATGAGTCGGAACATATATTCAGTACGCTCTAACAAAAATAACCTGAAAAAAAATTTGTATCAATATACAAAAATCCATAGCAGTGTAAAATATTTAAGACTAGTAGTTGCTTTTTAGATTAAGGTGGATTCCGTAATCTATGCTTTTATCCTATTATTTCTGTATCCCCCTCCCCATTTTTCTTTTTAGAACAAGATCCCTGAATCTAATCTTCTTTTCTCAGCTTTTGTTTACCAATAACAACTTGTAACCAATCCCCTTAAATGATGACAAACATCTATAACCAATATTTTGGGAATCTGGGTGCTTTTCTTGTTGTCTGGGGGTGCTATCTTTGGTGGACCCTTGAGAAAACTGGGATAATAATGAGCCCTGAGCTGCAGTAGTCCATGAGGTTGGACCATCTCAGCCAGCAGCCTTGAAAGTGTTGTGGATGCAGAGTTTTGAGGACACTCTAGCAGAGGCATTTGGAAATGATGGGTTACCTGGGCCATTAATTTCCATTGGTGTTTGGTCCCCTCATTTTGAAAATACATAAACTTCTTTTGGTTTTTCTTTTTTTATTTTAATTTTATTGATTTTTATTGAGCTCTACATTTTTCTCTGTTCCTCTCCCTGCCTCTTCCCTCCCCTTCAACCCTCTCCCAAGGCCCCCATGCTCCCAATTTACTCAGGAGATCTTGTCTTTTTCTACTTCCCATGTAGATTAGATCTATGTAAGTCTCTCTTAGGGTCCTCATTATTGTCTAGGTTCTCTGGGATTGTGATTTATAGGCTTGTTTTCTTTGCTTTATGTTTAAAAACCACTTATGAGTGAGTACATGTGATAATTGTCTTTCTGGGTCTGGGTTACCTCACTCAAAATGGTGTTTTCTAGCTCCATCCATTTGCCTGAAAATTTCAAGATGTTATTATTTTTTCTGCTGTATAGTATTCCATTGAATAAATGTACCACATTTTCCTTATTCATTCTTTGGTCAAGGGTAATTTAGGTCGTTTCCAGGTTCTGGCTATGACAAACAATGCTGCTATGAACATAGTTGAGCACATGTCCTTGTGGCACGATTGAGCATCCTTTGGATATATACCCAAAAGTGGTATTACTGGGTCTTGAGGAAGGCTGTTTCCTAATTTTCTGAGAAATTGCCACACTGATATCCAAAGGGGCTGTACCAGCCTGCACTCCCACCAGCAATGCAGAAGTGTTCCCTTCATTCCACAACATCTCCAGCATAAGTTGTCATCAGCGTTTTTGATCTTGGCCATTATTACAGGTGTAAGATGGAATCTCAGAGTTGTTTTGATTTGCATTTCTGTGATGACTAAGGATGTTGAAAATTTCCTTAAGTGTCTTTCAGCCATTTTAGATTCCTTGATTGAGAGTTCTCTGTTTAGGTCTGTACTCCATTTTTTTTTATTGGATTAATTTATTCTTTTGATGACCAATATCTTGAGTTCTTTGTGTATTTTGGAGATCAGACCTCTGTCTGATGTGGGGTTAGTGAAGATCTTTTCCCATTCTGCCATTTTGAATTGCTGTCTGTGTCCTTTGCTTTACAGAAGCTTTTCAGTTTCAGGAGGTCCCATTTATTGTTTCTCTCAGTGTCTGCGCTACTGAGGTTATATTTAGGAAGTGGTCCCCCGTGCCAATGTGTTCAAGTGTACTTCTCACTTTCTCTTCTATGAGGTTCAGTGTGGCTGGCTTTATGTTGATGTCTTTGATCCATTTGGACTTGAGTTTTATGCATGGTGATATATATGGGTCTATTTTCATTCTTCTACATGTTGATATCCAGTTACACCAGCACCATTTGTTAAATACGCTTTCTTTTTTCCATCTGATATTTTTTGCTTCTTTGTCAAAAATCAGGTGTTCAAAGGTGTGTGGATTGATATCCAGATCTTCGATTCGGTTCCATTGGTCCTCCTGTCTGTTTTTATGATAGTACTGGGCTGTTTTCAGTACTGTAGCCCTATAGTAGAGTTTGAAATTAGGGATTGTGATGACTCCAGAAGTTCTTTTATTGTGCAGGATTGTTTTTGGCTATTTTGGGATTTTTGCTTTTCCATATGAAGTTGAGTATTGTTCTTTCAAGGTCTGTGAAGAATTTTGCTGGGATTTTGATGAGCATTGCATTAAATCTGTAGATTGCTTTTGGTAAGATTGCCATTTTTACTATGTTAATTTTACCTACCCAAGAGCATGGGAGATCTTTCCACTTTCTGGTGTCTTCTTCAATTTCTTTCTTCAAAGATTTAAAGTTCTTGTCATACAAATCTTTCACTTGTTTGGTTAGAGTTCTCAGCTGTAGGCGCCACAGGTCTGGCGTGGGAGTGGTGAATCCAGGTGGAAATACCGTCCACTTTGAGAGCAGTTAGGGTGGTTAGGAAGACAGCATAGGGTCCTTTCCACTGTGGCTCCAGGGACTTGCATTGGTGTCTGCGGATCAGGACCCAGTTGCCAGGCTCGAAACTGTGGGGCTCATGGGAAGAGGAAGATGAATATAGTGCCTGAGGCCAGATATCTGCCTGTATTTGGGGCTGCACTTCTAGGCTCTCTAGGAGGTTCACTTCTTCCAAAGGCAGGATTAACTCGTCCTGCAAGCTAGGCACAAGGAGTGGAGGTAGACCATACATTATATCAAAAGGGGCCAGCCCCATCTGGTATGGGGAATTTCAGGGGAGGAGAGCCACCCAATCACCGCCAATCTCCGGACTAGTTTGGTAAGGGTCTCTTTTAGGGTCCGAGTTATTCTCTCAACCTGTCCTCAACTCTGAGGGCGGTAAGCACAATGTAATTTCCATCAGCCCCCAGTGATGGGGAAGTTCAACCAATCACATCTGGTTAGGGTGTGGCCGCCTGGAGCCCAGGTAGAAAAACCGGAAGATGCAGGCGCGCTTGCCCCCCTCTCCCCCGCTGTGTTCGCCGGACCATTTTGGAACTCTGGTAGCATGAGTTCCCCCCTTTTCAATTATTAAAAAGAGAACTGTTCTTGAGCTGGTCTGGTTATTTATCATACGGACCGAATACGTCAACACCCCAGTGCAGTGGCTACTCCCCAGCTTACCTGTGAGACAAAGGCAGGGCCATTGTCTGACCCTATCATGTGTGGGAAGCCAAACCTGGGAAGGATCTCTTCAAGTAACTTCTTAGCCACCACATAGGCAGTCTCGTGTTTGGTAGGATAAGCCTCAGTCCTGAGTCTGTAGTGTCTGTAAAGACTAATAAATATTTATATCCATATTTACCTGGTTTGACTTCTGTGAAGTCCACTTCCCAGTACGTACCTGGGGGAGTTCCTCTTATTCGGACCCCCCCCCTTCTCCCTGTGTTTTATAGGAGTTTACCAGTTGGCACGCTTTGCAGTCTCTTACAGTCTTATCAGTAAGACAGTTTGCTTGTAGAATCTTTAGTGGAGATCCAGAGATCAGTTCTCGAAGTTTCCGAGTTCCCAAGTGGGAGGTTC